CCCTGCCCTACCTCCCTCTCCCCTCGAGGACATGACCTCACTCGACCATCCCAGACCACAGCCACTATACGTACGGCAGACTAAGGGGAATCACTAACACACACAAGGCAACAACCCAAACTAGAAGAAGACAAGTTACAACTATAGGCACACCAATACAGTGAATAAACAAATATGGACTAAGACGACAACAATTTAACTAATTATAAATTAAAGACACAGGATCAGCAAGATATGTGCATCCAATGTACTTTTAAGAGCATGCTTAAAATTATGGCACATAATTATTTTACCAAAATATTTCTTAACAGGATCAAAATGTAAATGATGGTTTAAAAAAATCCATCCAATGTACTTTCTTGAAAGTGTTAATCCCGTGTCTATTCTTGGACTAATGAACAGTGGTAAAGTTGGACTTACTTTGTTAGGTGATTTAAGATATCAATTAAGTTGAGGATAAGTATGATTTTTTAAGGGAATCTTTATATAAATAATAGTTCGAATTCATTATTTATTTTTCTTAGTAAGTATGTATAAATTATACATTAATAATATACAGCTATATATATATACATATTATATATAAATTGTATACATATATTAATTAGGTTAATTCTTCTCTTTTGAAATTAACTATTGTCAAATAGCTGAAACGATATATATCTTTACCTGTAAGGATGCATGCTTATATCCATTAAGAGTTTTGAGATAATATGCAAAGGACCAAATAAGCATCATGTCATAAAGAATAATAACTTTAACTTAAAACCGTCTATAACTTGATCCCATCTTTTTATCAGTACATATATATCCCCACATTTCTTGTACTAAGATCAGCCACGGCAGCTGGATACTTTAATACTAACCTTTTTATTCCTTTTTTTTTTTTTTAAAAAAAAAAAAAAAGCTTTCCATAGAGATTGGAATGTGTTGTACTTGTATATATGATGGTAGTCGTCTTCCACAACAATATTTTCCATCAAGAACACAAATTCTAACGTTTAGTTATCAGAAAATAATTTCCGAAAAATGACTTTTCCCACTTATCTACAGGGTAACCTGCACACTGTGCAATAACTTGCAAACGACACAGAAAATGTAAATTGCACTAGGCAAGTGGAATGAAATGAGCTCTAACTGAATAGACTGCTAATGAGGGGAATCGATCTCAGATCTCGCATGTGAGAAACCACCCACCCAACCAACTTAATCAACCAACTTAGGACAAAATATGTAATTACAATCATACTAAACATGTTAGGAATACTCCTAGTGATTAGATTACTCTGGTGCACTGCTAAGATGTACCAAAGACCCTCCAAAATTTTGTCCTTTCTGCTCCTCTATTCATGGCCTATTCCTAATTTCCTACTCATAAGAATCTTGAAAAAAGAAAAGAGAAATAAATTTAAGATGCATCAAAGGATTGATATAACATGAACTTTCCCCTCTTGTGTAACATCAATGAAGCTACTATACATATACATTTTTATTCTTTTGGAACCTGATTCTTAAAATGTGTTTTCCCCCCTCAAATTCGAAGGGATTCTTTGGGTTAGTTTGGGTGCAGAATCATCTGTAACTATATGACAACTCATTCATATGCTATTATTCTCCTACACATATAGAGAGAAAAAAAATACCAAGAATTATCCCCCCCCCCCCCCCCCCCAACCAAACCCCACAAATCCATCTATCCACTCAAGCTTTTTTTCTTTTTTCTTTTTTTATTTTTGCAAAAAATGGAGAAAACTTTATTGATTTGATTGATTACGGCTAGTTGCTACTTATCCAGGGGAGTCGTTTCCTCAAATAATCACTCAACTTAATGAAATTACCTAATTAAGTCGTTTACTTTTACTTTGTTGTCACTCAAGTTTATACATTTATCTTATAAAATAATGATGACCGAAGATCGCTTTAAAAATAACTTCTATGTAAATGATTTTTCGATCAGCCATTGTTACTTTATAAGACAAAAGTATAAACATGAATGACTTTAGTGGAACAAAACAAAAATAATTGACTTTACAAGGTAATTTCGTTAAGTTTAGTGATATCATTTGAGAAATTGGTTCTATTCATGGGTTTGAAACAAAATTTTAATCTATATCTCCACCATCAAAAAATACGTGCAAATTTACAACTAAAGCTATTCTTGGAAAAATTGTAAGGAATTCGACATATTCATAATCCCTTGAAGGTGAAAATGTGTATTAATCGACTATTGTTTAGCGGTAAGAGTTTACTTGAATGTATGTGATATGTATTCATTGGATTGATGTAAATACTGAGAGCGAATAAGTGTTTACCGTCTCTCTAAGTGACGAGAAAGCATACAACTTAAAGGAGATGTAGTATGATTAATTCAACTGTATACTAAGACAAAGCATAAATATGTATGTTTTATTTTTATTTTTATGTTTCTCCATCTGAAATGGAAGGGTAAAATCAGATTATTTTTTATTGTTATGCAGTTGAAGATATTTACATAGTGAACGACACACTAGCAGAAGTAACGTAATTTCTTAATTATATAATTTACTATCTTATATATATATATATATA